TAAACCTCTTTGATAACATGGGCCCTGCATAAAAGTACAAATAAGAGTTCCCCAATCCGCAAAGATTTCTCGGCACAAAAGGGCTTAACATCTACAATAAAGTCCCTGTATTAAAAGCTCCTTTACTCACCAGGACCAAGAGGGAGAGTTGAAAATCAAAAGTTTTGACAAGGATCCGATTCGCAGCTGGGTTAATTTGTATCCTTTGACCGTTTTCCATAAGGGTATGAGGAAAATTGATTTATCAGACTTGTTTTATAACATGGTTTGTTTAGACTTTGTTAACCAGGGATTAAACTTGAACAAATAACACCAGCCGATCAACAGATAAATCACAGTGTGATTTTCAATATTTCCAAGAAGGGAAAATATTATCCAAGTTTGAAGGGACGTAATTATTTGTTACTTTGTAAGATTAATAAAAAGGGGAAACAAGGCTAGTTTTAAATTAAATTCGACTTGAAAGGAAAATATATCCGCCTTAATGAGCATTTCTGAAAATGTTTTTAGTCTGAACAAACTACATAAATAACAAGGAGCTAATAGCTGAGAGGACTTTGATGAAACTTCATTCCAAAGTGTCTTCTCAATGTATAATGAGAAGGAATTTTCGCATTGTCCGGATCATGACAAACTAAACAGAAATATAATTTTTTTGAAATACTAAAATATAAATAAATCTAGATTTTTTAATACATTCTGTTGTAAAAATATAAGTTGGCTTAACTATTCAATCAAAGTGGGATTTTCCAAATACCCTGACAGGCAAAAAATTCCGCCCAATTGATTTTTTATCATTTTCTGGATAAAAATAAATTATGCTTTTGATTTGCCTCATTGTTTCTATCAATAAATATTTGTTTATGTTATGTTTTAAATTTGGAATAACAATTAGAGGTAAATACCCTTAATCTTTTATCCAAAACAAGGGTAAAGGATTTTTCCATGTTTACTTTTTACGGAATTTAAAATGTTTATTCAGTCTCATTTGTAACCTGAAGCAATAAACTGTTTAGTTTTCTCTTTGTTTCCTTAATTTCAATTTTTAAATTTCAAAATGCCACTTAGTGCTGAGGATGTTGCGCGTGGCGTGGCACTTAGTGATGATGGACGTTCCATTAGGTGTGGCTATTGCCATCGGATTTCCCTACGAAATTCTGCGAGACGCCGTTAGACGTTTTCGAGAAATTGGACCTACCATAGAAGGCCCGGTTCTGGTCGCCCTAGGGCAGTGGTCGGCAAACCGCTGATCTTTGACTTCTTGGCTGCGGCTCTTTCACTAAATGTTTAGTGCAGACACGGAGTGAAAAGTATTACAAGTGCAAGAAATGAGATTTTCGCTATTTTTAAAGAAAAAATTAATCACGAGATACTTACTTACCATTGTATTATTCATCAGGAAGCACTATGTGCTCAGACTTTTCCTGAAGAAATTTGCGCAGCAGGTTCAAAGACTTTAGGAACAACAAAGCGACGCTAGCCTTTTTTTTAAAAAAACCTCTGAATGCCACGGTAACATAAATTAATTTTTTGCCCTTTAATATTGATATTGGCAGCTTTGAAATGCGGTTGCTGAATTTAAAAAATAAAGAATTTTAGAGCTCAAAATTCGAGCGTCTTTAAACCGATTTACAGCTGTTGATGAAAAATAAATGTGAATTAAGTTTACAGCACCAATGTTCTGCTTTGAAGGATCTGGAGAGCGAAGATATGTTGATTTTTAACACCTGGATGATGATGATCAACTGAAGAAACTATCGTTTGCTGTTCTTTCATTATTTGGGTTTACATATTTATGCGAACAAGCATTTTCAAGCATGAACTTTATCAAGAGTAGATTAGGAAATCGGCTTATCGATGAGAACATGGAATCGTACCTAAAATTAAAAGCAACATACAAACCTGACTTACCCCTACTTTCCAGGGAAATGCAAGGCCATTTTTCACATTAGTGAAATATTTGTAGTTTTTTTAAGAATACCTTTTATATTATTTAACTTTTTATATTTTTAAATAAATATTATCTTTATATAAGAATGATACCAAGTTTTATTTAATGTACCGTTAATTAAACTAAGACATATTCTGCAAAGGCAAACTCGAGAGTGTACTTTTAATTCTAATTATTTCCATAAAAATGTTTACTAAAGCAAAGCTTAAGTTTAAAAAATAGCTCTGAATAAACTTAAATTTTGTATTTTTGTTTATATTTGGATCTTTTGGATGACGAGTTTGCCGACCACTACCCTAGGGTAACAGAACCACCGTTTTTTGACTTTGAGAATTTTGCGAAACCGGCACCGCAGTTCAAGCGGTTCATCAGCTCCAGGAAATTTGAGGGTTCCAAATTTCTGAAAGCACTGCTCGAAGAAGGTGAAATCAGTATGGACTGACTGCTTTTCGCCCCGTAAGAGGACCAGAATTGACCAGAACACACGGAGTTGCACGGCTCGCATTTGCTCGAGAACACAGTCATTGATCTTTGAAGGATTGATGCTTGTACTTTTTACAGATGAGCGTAGATTTGCTCTACGATCTCCAAATGGGCATGAAATAGTGTGGGGAAGGCGAAATTTGTAATTTTTCCCAGAGCCAACCTTTTGAACGTACACGGCACCCTCAACACGACACGCAAGGATGGCACAATTACACAGAAGACAAACATGTTGAGCCCTGAAGATGATCTCAATAAAAGATCGAAACGTTAGCACGATAAAGAAAATGTTTTTCTGAAACCTACATCACACCAGACCGCATCTCACGATATCTGAATAACTTTTGAACGTAGCTCAGTGATGGCGTGGGCGGCAATCTTAATGGAGCGTCACAAGGAGTTAGTTGTTGTTAGTGAAGGGTTTTTGACGGCCACTCGCTATGTGGATGAAATTTTGGAACATCATGCGTTGCCTATCCTCGATGAAATCAGCGACAATCCCATTCTAATGCACGATAATGTCCGTCCACATGTCGCTCGCATAGTACAAACGTACCTTCAACAGCATAATATCAAGAGCTTAGCCTAGCCAGCCAGTTCTCTAGACTTGAACCGCTTCCCAAACCCAAACATTTATGGGATAACCTCAAAAGTCGAATAAGAGCTCGTCCGTCACTTCCTGATACACTCCAAGATCTTGAAACGACTCTTCGTTAAGAATGGGCTAACCTCCAGCAAAGAAGCATTTCCGGACTAGTAGAAAGTGTTCCGAGGCGTCTTCGAGTTGTAATTAAGGCAAGAGGAGGTAATAGGCGATACTGAAATGTTAATTAAAAATCTCTTTTAAAAAAATTGTAATTTTTTTTTTTAAGACAGACTCAATTATTAAACGTTAAAAAACTTGAAACTTTGATTAATGTATAAAACTATACACAAATCCAGTTATATTAAATGTAGGTGGCATATTTTGCCTGTGAGTGTATAAAAAATATAACAATGCAGTTGTTCTATGATGACTGCTTACATTCTAGGTATGTTACGATGACGTCTAGAACTCCATAAATTTGGTGTATTGTGTAGTAGTAATTACAGAAGCCAAATTGCTGGTCAGGAATAATACTTGTTGAGAATAGGATTTACTGCAGGCGCGATAGGAATGGCTTCTCAAGTACTTTCCCAAGGATAGATAGAATAAACCAACCTAATCTCGTTGTTACGTAGATTCGAAGTAGAGAAGATTAGGTAGATATGAAGTACGAGGAAACATAGTCGGTTGGTCTGTTAGGCTTGTGAACCATGCTGATGGAAGATCAGTTAAATATTTAGACTAGTAGATTGGCGTCGATTCCCCATATAAGACTCAAGCGTCAAGAACTAAATAGACGACTTGGGCGACTGTGAAACTACACATCGGATATGACCACAAAGAAACTAAAACTTTGGCATTAGGAGCACTGCTGAAAGGTACTACCAGCCCATCTAATGTCTAACTAAGATGCATTTCAAAAGAAGAATTCCCAAAGCTCCTTATTACTGGTTAAAGAATGTATCCCTTCTCGAGTTGCATTTCAATCGTTCAATCCCATTCTAGCTCTGCTCCTCTCTCCACTACCTTCAACTCAAGAACCTTCTATCTCTTTCATGATCTTCCTCGAGACCTTCTCGCTCTTAATGCAATAACAGATCGAGTGCTAATATATAGCACGTGCTCTCCTGCTGCTTAGTGAAGTTCCGATTAAATTTTAGTGACTGGGAGTTTTGTGGTCCTGAAAAGGGCCGGTGTTGTGTAGAGCCGTGACGATGGTATGAGGCCGAGACCGTGCGAGTGGTGCCTTTGGTAGTGTTGTGTGACTGAGTAACCTTGGCTAAGGTCCGGGGGGTCTGTGAGTCGGTTGACTCCACAGAGGCCGAAGCTACTGGAGTGCAGCAATTAGCCGAGGGGCAACAGTTTATAGCCAAGTCAGCTGTTTAGAAGGCGAGATCAGGCTAATGCTGCGTTGTACTCTTGCTTTCGTCGACTGTGTTCCATTAGTGATAGCTCGTCGGGTTGACAAGTCTGCTGTCGTTGATTAGTTATGGATGAGACCTCGTCGTGTCGACGAGTTTGCTGTCATTGTTGCCGATGTCGGTTACGTTACTGATCGGTCAGATCTCGTCGGGTTGACGAGTCTGCTGTCGTTATCCATTAGAGATAAGTGAGACCTCGTCGTGTCGACCAGTATAAAGTCATTAAATAATAGTGATTGGTGAGATCTCGTCGCGCTGACGAGTCTCATTCCAGCGAAGTAGTCTACAAAATATTGCATATAGATTTTCTTTGGTGATTGATCAGCCTTCTCATTTTAAATATATTTTTCTTTCCAAAAAGTAAATTGGTGGCCTCATCCTCATCCCCAATCTACCTTTTGGAAAGAAAAATATATTGCATATAGAACAATTTGTAACGTGTATTTACATACAGAATATAAACAGATATTTAAAAAATAAATTTAATAATCAAGTTAGTTGAACATTTTTTAAAAGATTTCACAGATCTTTATGTTAATCCAGCTTTGATTTTGCGTAGCACCGGAAGTTTTCGGATGTGTACTGGACGAGGTCGCTGGGTATACATTCGCCGTGGATTGGTGGTCCCTTGGTGTGACGCTGTACGAGCTGCTCGCCAGGTCGCGGCCGTACGACATCCACTCGGCGACGAGCATCTCTCAGATCAAGTCACTTTTCAACAACCACGTCCACTACCCGTCGAGATGGAGTTCGTCAATCGTCGACCTGCTGACAAGGGTGAATTTTTTTACTCTCCAAACATTTCAGCGATTAAAACTGGTTCTGTTGCAGCTTCTGTGCGTCACGCCTGGTGCTAGGCTGAGCAGCCTGCAAGAACTGAAGCAGATTCCTTGCCTGAAGGCACTGGACTTCGAAATGATTCTTGAGAAGCAAATGAAGCCCAGTTTCACACCGCCGGTAAGTTGTTACTGATTGCAACCTCGAAAGAGTAATAAAAAATGTACAGCGCTGATAGGAAACTAACTTTTAGGATTTTCTTTCCTTTATCGAAACAGAGTACCATTTTCTAAAGTATGAAACAGGTTAAGACCGTTCAAGAACGCGACAGATACAAGATCTACTTGCTTTAAGTAAAAGAGAGAAAGTCTTTTGTGTCTTTTGATTCTATAACTTTTGACCTTGAATTTACCTTTAATTTTTCCTCGAGAGTATAGTACGAAATTTTCATCAGGAGCGTTTTGTAAAATTGTATTTTTTTATCTTTGTCTTTTTATCTAACATAATTTTCATATTTTTAAATTCACACAAAAAACTAGTCCATTTTTTTTATACTTTCACAAATTATTTACATACAAATTTACAAGATCCACACAAGTCGTGGTCCCCCAGTAAGACCAAAAATCTAATAAAAACTAGAGGTGAAAACTAATAAGTCAATGTGCAAAACTGAAAAAATCTTAAGAGGTTGTCGATTTTATTTTTATAATAATAACTGCATATTTTGAATTTTTATCGTTCAAATCATGGGTAAGGTCAATATAAAAAAAGTACTTTCGTGGAACTTTCGATTAAAATATCGCATTTTCCAATTTATCATGACATTTAAACTATTATTAATAATATATTCAAAACTTTTGTATATATGCTTTCAAATCCCAAGAAATTACTAATTAAATTTATAGTGAACGAGAACAAATACCCGTTCCTTTTATATAGGAAATACAATATCATCACCAACCGGTCATCCTATACAATAGAGCCAATGCAGGACATAGTGATCCTATGTTTACCATAATAATGTTACCCAGAATTGTCCGCAACAATTAAGAAGTACCTTATAAAAAATTATAATTATAATTCATTAGATTTCGTGGTCCGATTGACGAAATAACATCTTTCAATTAATTAATCTTTATGTAAGGTATTGGTTGAGATAAAAAAGTCAACGTAAGAGCGGGATTCGAACCCACGACCTTCGGTTAGATACGCCGCTGCTCTATCACTTGATCTACCGTGACTTTGATCCACTCGGACACTAACTTCCACTTTATCTCAACCAATTCCTTACATAAAGATTAATTACGTGAAAGATGTTATTTGGTCAATCGGATCACGAAATGTAATGAATTTAATAAGTTAAATGTAGTATATCTTCACTAAAGCTCTCCGTGGCCATTTCATTTGTCGCCGAGAATCAAATGGATTACACGACATTTGAAAAATGGCAAAAAGGTGGGGTTGAGATGGGAAGTTTGTGTCCGAATCCATCGAGGTCACGAGAGCTCAATTGGTAGAGCAGCGGCGTATCTAGCCGAAGGTCGTGGGTTCGAATCCCGCTCATGACACTAACTTTTTTTATCTCAACTAAAACTTTAATTAATTGAAAGATATTAATTGGTCAAGCGGACCACAAAAACTGGTGAATTTGATTGTAAATATTGTACCAACTCTCTCCTTTTGTATAAAACTAAGTCGATACCCTAAACTGCTTTCTTCAGGTTGTCAACTACAGAATATATATAAAACATACAATACTTATATACACTGCATATACACTGCCCATTCAAAAAACTGGGTTTTGCACGAAAAAATTAATAACTTTGAAAATGCATATTTTCTCAGCTTCTTAAAGGACATATTTGCGATAGAACTCAATTTTTAGAAACCTTTCCGCTGAAACATGGCTTGTTAAATGTTTTCCTTGGTTCATCAACGGCAAATTCAAAAATTCGGGAACTTGTTAATTTTTGCGCTTTTGACGAAATATTAAAATTGAACTGTGACGCCAGAAAATATCGCCCTCTCAGCAATCGATAGGAAATTTTAATAAGTTTTCAATTGGTCCCCTTTCAATTAGCTAAATTTCTCAACCGTTTTCGAGTTATTCGTGATTTTTGGGAAAAATGTAGTCGGATTTTTTTATGAACCGTGAATATACACATCATCATAAACATAGAAGTCTGCCCACATTCACTCCACCAGAGTACTTTATATTCCTTGGGGCGTGGTTGAACCCACTCCATTCACGCTAATAACTTTCTTTTACATTCCTGACGTCACACAGCACCTCAGACTACCCGATATTCCTCGGAGAGGTGTTAAACAACCCCTCCCTTTCACGCTAATAAAGCACATTTCTATAAATTAACATAAACATAAAAGTAACATAAAGCTCCTGACACTAATTTTTTTCATTTCAACCAGAAATCTTACATAAAGATTAATTAATTGAATGATATAATTATATTAACGATAATAATTTACAAAATATAACGGAAATAATGAATAACTAATGGAGAGATAATTTCCATTTTAACTATAAATTTAAAAAAATTATCATTGGATTTAATACGGTTTGAAGAATAATAAAATGGATAAGTGTGCAGCACCATGTAGAATATGACTACTACATTCTAAAGGTTATTGGTTGTAATTATTAATTTATGGGGCACCATATAGAATATGACCAGTACATTCTAAAGTTTAGAGGATATACCTTTTAAATTATTAATTAAAGTTTCAAAGTCCTGATGAAAAGTATATATATTCCTCGAAAGCTCAACAAAGAAAATAAGTGTTTTGTTTATAATTTGCCTCATCCCTGATCATTTTTATTACATTTATTAAGCATACGTTCAAAAGAACGGGCAAGCCGTTGTCAATTATTACTTATTTGAAGATCGTGAGATGCGGTCTAGTGTGACGTAGGTTTTAGAACAAGAATTAATTATGGGTTTAAGTTGAGATAAAAAAGCCAATGTCACGAGCGGGATTCGAACCCACGACCTTCGGCTAGATACGTCGCTCCTCTACCACTTGACCTATCGTGACCTCGTTCCACTCGGACACCAACTCACCGTCTGAACCTATAACCTTTCCCTCCTTTTTGCCAATCTTTATAAAATTAATTATTAACTTCCCATCTCAACCCCACTCTCCGTGGGGAAAGTCGTGGGTTCGAATCCCGCTCGAGACACTGACTTTTTTATCTCAACTAAAAACCTTAATTAATTGAAAGATATTAATTGGTCAAGCGGACCACGAAAACTAGGGAATTTTAGAAAAACATTTTCTTTATCGGCCAACGGTTCGATCTTTATTGAGATCATCTTCAGGGCTCAAAGTGTTTGTTTTCTGTGTAGATGTGTCATTTTTGGGTGTCGTGTGCCGTTAATTAACTGTAAATAGCAGCTTTATTTCAATATTTATTTAAACAATCGTGAGTTGTTTGTTCGGAAGCTGTTCGGAAATATTTCTGTGATTAGGCCGAAAGAGGTTTCTCTTACTTAAAAATCCGGGGGCACGGAGCAGTGAGCAGACCCAAGAGGGTCATTCCAAAGTGTTTTAAAACAATACGAAAGCTTTGATATCTCATTTTATTGTTAATTTAAGTTTGTCCTTGTCACAGAGGGACCATTTGAATTGTGATCCCACTTTCGAACTTGAAGAGATGATCGTCGAAGCGAAGCCTTTGCACAAAAAGAAAAAACGACTCGCCAAACAGCGCTCGCTCAAGGGCTCGATCAGCGTCGACACGCCGGTAAGTCGGTTTGAAAATTTTAAAAATGAAAAATTAAAAGACAGGAATTTATTTTTTTACAGGAGTCAGAGATCGAATCCCAGCTTGTCGAATTCCAACCGTACAATCGGGAAAAAGAGCTTTTGAAAAGGGAGATGGAACTGAAGGAGAATAAATGGGAACAAGAGCTTATAGAGGCAATGAACGCTTCGACGAACACGTGAGTGTTTCCGAGATTAACTCGTCTTTATCGGGATTTTTTCAATTCTATTTGCCCGGATAATAGATCTGTTGATTAAACAGAGATGAAGGTGAATTACAAGTCAGGAAAAAACTAAGCCACTTTTCATGGCCCAGTAACAAACGAGCTGGGAATAAAGTATAATTTATCAAACCACTCAAGAAAATGCATGCCGAGAACTTAACGAAACCGCATAATTGACTTTCGCCTGCGTTCATTCGCCTTTCAAGTTTCCTTTGTCGAGAACACATAAAGCCTAACAAACTTAAATAAATGGTGTTTTGTAAAAGAAAATTTCCCTTCGTCTGAAAGAAAAGAAGATTTTCTACCGCAGATAAACTGGAACTATTTGATATTTAATGTTGGACCCAAAAATAGGCAAGTTAAAGTCGTAAACATGTCCGATTTTGCAAGGATATTGCACACAATACAATTTTAAAGAGGCAAAATCTTCAAATAAAGAAATTTAATGCGATGATAAATCAACCTTTTCATTTTTTTTTACTTGGAGTACTTTAGAATTAATATTTTAGAAGCTGTTGGTCAATTAATAATAAAATAGACAGTCTTGATTAATATTTACAAGATTGAAAGTTATTGTTTGTAACTTTTGTACGACTTTCTGTTCAAACGTTCTGTCTTTACTCTTTACTAATTGAGATTTACCAACATTGAAATGTATATTGAAAATTGAAGAACAGAGCGATAGATGATAAATAGAAAAGCAAATTTTCCATGATAAAGAGAAAAGCAAATTTTCCTCACAACTCACGCATATTTTACTTCAACATCTCTCTCACACCGACGCTCCCAGTGCAGTTTGAGATTAGTCTGACCTTACCGCTCTCTCACTTTCTCGCTCTCTCTCACTCTCTCTCATTCTCACTCACTCTCTCCCTTTCACTCTCTCCCTCTCACTCACTCCCTCTCGCTTTCTCACTCTGACTCTCACTCACTCTCTCCCTTTCACTTTCTCACTCTCTCCCTCTCGCTTTCTCACTCTCTTTCTCTCTCTCACTCTTTCCCTCTGCTCTCTTTCTTTCTCTCTCACTCTCTCTTTCCCTCTCGCTCTCTTTCTTTCTCTCTCCCTCTCACTCTCTCACTTTCTCCCTTTCACCCTCTCACGCTTTCCCTCTCACTTTCTCACTCTCTTTCTTTCTCTCCCACTCTCTCTTTCTCTATCTATTTATCTCTTTATCTCTATCTATTAACTTTATCTATCTATCTATTTTTCTTCGTTTTTATTTATTTTCTCTTTGCTCTCTTTTTTTTTTCTTTCTTTCTTACTTATGAGAGGTCGTTCGAGACACTATCTCTTTGCAAAATACGTTCATTAACGCCCTCGCTATCACTCACTCTCTCTCTCTCTCTCTCTCTCTCTCTCTCTCTCTCTCTCTCTCTCTTCCTTTCTTCCTTTCTCAATCAATCACCCTCTCTTATCAATTTCTCGCACATACACTCTCTCTCTCTTTTTTCCGTCTTTTCTATATTTATTTATAATTTTAACATCCACGCTTAAATTATACAATTTTTTTAAAATAATTTTTTCTTCACTGAAGATCGTAAGAAGCCGAAACGCATCTGATAGAACAAAATAGGAAGGATAGACGTACAAAAATAATAAGAAACGGTCAAGCTAGAAAAAAAAATCCCCAAAACCTTTTTATTTTCTTTGGTCAAGGGTAAGTAGCTTGAAATTTGCTTAGTGTGACTCTGATGCTGATATCTCCAAATTTGGCGAGGTGCCGTGGTGCGTTGTGTATCTAAAATTGTTCCATAATAATATGAAAAATTTTTACCTGAAAGTGTTCAGAGGAAATTTATTAACCTACTTTGCATGTTAGGACTTTAACGGGATAATAACGAGCATGTCGAATGAAACTGTGCAAAACGTTCCCCCTTCAGGATCGCTTTCTGTTCGTGGGAATGTGTTTCATGTAGGTGATAAACGGCCACAACGCATTCGAATAAATTCTCCACACCCCTGCTCACAGTTGTCGTACAATGACTACTTTCAAAAGACCTTTAATGAAATCTGTTACGTGATTATTTGGATATATTTGGATCTTCTTTTAATATATTCAAAAACACATAAACGCTTGACCTTATGATTATAATTAGTTTATTGGTTTGGTTTTCTGAAAACTATCTGTATTTCTAGATTTAAAATATTGTAATATGACGTTCTGACGAGGGGTCATCCCTTTGTAATGTACTAAAACAAATAAATACAAATTTACGTTAAATCTTTTGTTCGAAAGTACATTCTGGCTTTTTTTTCTTTTTAGACCGGAAAAGCCGAACACCCTCCTCGTCCCTCAAGCTGGCCAGGAAAGAAGGAGATCTTCTTGCAAGTTGACGGTGTCGCCGATCAGCGTGCAGAACAGGCTCGCCGCAACAACTTCGAGGACGCCGTCGAATCAGAATAGTAACTCTTCTTCCATCGGAAACCAGAACTCTCCGAACGGCTCGGACGTTTTCCTACCGATCAAAATAACAAACGACGAAGAGCCGAGGATACAGCCGCCTATAATGAACGTTCCATCTATACAAATTTTCGAAAACACTCTATAATAGTTTGTCCGATCTGTCAAAATCCACTGTTGTAAGAACCACATGCACTATTATAATAGCCGGTTAATAATTTCTAACATTATTTATGTCTATATTAAATGTAAGTTGCAGTTTTTCCTGCAAAAGTCAATAGGAATTGTTATCTGTCGTAAATCGTTTCCCAATAAATGTGGGGCTCGAGGTTTTTTAAGTTTTGGTATTTAATTAATGTGCTTTAAATAATCGTAGGCGATAAAACAAAGTATAAATATTTTTATCACGATGTGTAATATAATCAGGCAGGGTATATTTAACTGTTTTGGCCAGATCGTCTATTTTACAAAAATACTTTCGTACCTTTGAGCACCAGGTCGTCACAGTAATTACCAAATCTATTCTGGAAATGTAATAATACTAATAAAACTAACGAATTAATGAAAATGACTAGAAAGCGTTATTACCCCCTATTCCATCAGAATATGATCAAATGTCAGTATTTGGTTGATTCTTCAAATTACAAATAATTCTTACCTACCATACAGGATTTGGCAAGAATGCAGGTGTTAGAGAGATAATGTCATCTAAACTCCTTTCCAATTCCTCTAATAATAATAATTACGTGTAGAGCCTTTTCACCACATGTGGATACGAGTAGAAATCAAGTCCCGTAAGTTCCACCAGAAAGATCGAAAAAAACGAGGTGCTGGTAATAGCTCTGATAGCAAGCAGGCCTAAATAATAATAATAATAATAATAACTGGGTGGTGATTAGTGACCGTTAATCGATGATTATTCAGAAATCGTGAGATGCCGTCTGGTGTGATGTAGGTTTCAGAAAAACATTTTCTTTATAGTGCCAACGTTTCGATCTTTATTGAGATCATCTTCAGGGCCTGAGATTTACAAACATTGTTTAAATTTAACAAATACATGTAGGATATGGAAAAAAGTGAATTTGCACAATGCAAAATATCTTTTTTTATATTCAATCAAAGTATTTCTACTTATATAAACACCTTACACAAAAATGTCTTTTCTATCCCGACGTCCTTCTCCACCCCTTCAAAATCAAAGGAATATAAACATAAAACAGCAATATCTCACTGGCACTATCAACACGACACGCAAGAATGGCGCAATTACACAGAAAACAAACACTTTGAGTGAGTAGAAATACTTTGATTGAATATAAAAAATATATTTTGCATTGTGTAAATTCACTTTTTTCCATATCCTACATGTATTTGTTAAATTTAAACAATGTTTGTAAATCTCAGGCCCTGAAGATGATCTCAATAAAGATCGAAACGTTGGCACAATAAAGAAAATGTTTTTCTGAAACCTACATCACACCAGACCGCATCTCACGATCTCTGAATAATAATAATAAGAACATTTAGTTTTATTTTATTTATATTTCGTCGTTCTTTTCTTAACACCTTTCACATAAAAACCCAAAATCCCTTGTCATTATTTATAAAAGCGGATATCGATCAATAACGACATACAGAAGTACAACTTGGGTGCCCAATTTAAACAGTCAGAGAAAAAATATCGTAGAATAAAGTCAGAGGATAGCATGCTCAGCCGATTGACTTAGTCCTCCAAAGCAAAGTTGCCATCAAGCGAATAAAAATGATACAATGGCCAAACCTACAAGGTGTAGAAGAACACAAGCTAGATAGGCTGAGGAACATCCTAAAAAGACTCTGGATTCATAAAAACTTGAATAGACACTGCGTGGAAAAACAGATGTAAACGTCACTAAAGGAAGGCTCACCTACGAATACTTCACAAATATTGAGGACGGGCACATCCAAAATGGGTGTCTCTGGATTTCTAGGCCAAGAAAACCTGGTCATGGCAACTTCTAACCATACCTCTTTAAATACAAAATTCCAAGTCTTTATGCCCCAAATGCGATACAGATGATGACGTGCACCAAAAAATTCTCTCTTGTATACTTTTTGTTTGGAAAAGAGAAAGTCTTTTTGCAAAGCAGTTAGCTTTTTTTTCAAGAGTATTTCAACTTCAAGGTTATATGCACCCTTGGTACGCCGCTGTTTAAAAAAAAATAAAAATTTGTAAGTATGTCAGGTTTGAATGCAGGCCACTGGATTCTAACTCGGGACCTTTACCTTACAGTGAGCACCATTTCAACGCCTAAACCATTGTGGCCACTGACACCCTTTGCCCCAACTTTTAGTAAACTTTTTCAAAATTGTTTCCAGCCGCTCAAGGCATTAAGCCTGAAAATTCTTGCCTGTCAAAAATAGAGCGCAAATTTATCTATTTATTTATTCATTTTCTATATCTTTATTTAATTAATGGTTTAATACATTTTAATAGGATTCTTCAGACTCAAGGAAATTTAAATCCCATTCCCTACTTGAGCCTCACCTTCGTACGATAGGCTCTAACGTTTCTCCCTTTTCTGTTTTACACCGCCAAATTTCAGTTTGGCATGGTCCACCAGTATAGGGTCTTCCAAATGGTGGTTGTTAGGAAAAAATATATAAATTTTTTCAACTTAAACTTATTAATGAAACAATGAAAGCAATATAAAAACTTTAAAAAACAAGCAGGTAAATATTATTTATTGTTTCAAAATAAGTAAATATCTAAATAATAAAAACACAGAAAATCACTCTTTTTAATATTTTGATATTAAAAAAATTATGTTTATCGTTTTTTGGATAAGATCCTTGTAAATTTAGAAAAGAAAAGGTCGTTTAGTTTTTATTTTATCTGTTTCGCCCGTCTTTTCTTAATAGCCCTAACACATGCAACAGCCACTTTCCAAGATTGCCTTTCCTCCTACATCACAATCAAAGGGTTTAGAAATAAATTTAAAAATATAGAGAGAGGGTGATGCACTTTTCAACACTGTCAAAACAAAAATACACCAGCTGCTTAAATAGATTTTAGACCTATTTTCTAATTAATGCCAATTTCTTGGTAAACACTGAAAAAAAAATTATCCCAATTTTGCAATATAAAGGTGCTAATAAATGAATTCCACTGAAACAAATCTATATTTAAATAAATAAAGTAAAAATTACAGTGATAAGAATTAAAAATTTATCAAGTGGTTTTTTTTTTATTTATTTTTTTTATTTTTTTTTTACAAATTAACATGAACTAAAATACAGTATTGGAAGATATCTCTTCAGCCGCAACGCAGTATCACAATCATACAATTCCAGATGGATATTTCTGATCTTTTTAACACGATTATCACATCATGTTTGTACAATTTGTAACAGAAAATGTTGAATGAAAAAGATGGAAGTTGTCTTAACCTGAAAAATAATAGTGGCCAAAGCAAATCTTTAAATTTCATTTAAAAAAATATATATATAAACGTTAACAATTATCTTTGATTGATTGGCTGATCAATAATCAAATTAATAACATTGTTAATAATACAATCAAAGCATGATGATTTTCCCTAAGTGAATAGTGAAATTTAATCGGCAACTTAATAACAATAATATGTATGATAAAAATGAAGTTCATCTGAACAAAACAGATTGACCTAGATGATAATTGACCAACTTCAACTTAGAAGTAATCAGTAGTATACTAGCAAAAATTTACGATGTGACTGTCAGTAGATACATGGGGCCGCGGTAGCCGAGTGGTTAAGGCATCAGACTCTGTTTCGATCCCCACCGTCGCCTCTGGACTTTTTCTGATGCGTAAGGGGACTGGTGGCCTTAATTGAAAGAAATTTACACGGCACTCATCAATGGAAGGGGCGGGATCGTATCTCAGTGACCCTGAATTTGGTCCCAACCCCCTTCAAAAATGAGTTTCTTTGATGGAAGAACACCGGGGAACAACGGGAGCTCAAGTTCACATTTGTGTTGCGAGCCCTCCCCCAAAATATGGAGCCAGGGATAAAGTAAAATAAGCTGTACAGCTAACTGCAGTGCTCAGGAGGGAATTCCTCCAGTCCCTGGTATCAAAAAAAAAAAAGTCAGTAGATATTGTTTTTAAAATATTGTCACCAAGTTGAGCATCCTGCAAACAGAAAGAAAATGTAATTCTTTGAGTAACTTTCCAATTTATTTTGCAACCCAGCAACTCCACAGATAAAAAATACAGCATAGGCTACAATTTATTTAATATAATTATAATCTAGATCACTCTTGCCACCTACGGGAAATTCATTGTATATTACAAGCGTTTAAATTTCCCACGGGTCTCACTAACCACTAGACTTAATATGAAAATGTATAACCTTATTAAATTTCAGCCTCCAAAGCTTCCCTCGTCAAATCAACGACTTTCTCTTTTATTTATAAATTTGAGTATCAACAATTTAAATTCTACGAAAAATTATAATATTTATAATAATAAAGTTACACATAGTAAGACGTACTGTCTTTTAAAAACTTAATTCTTCCTTTAGTTAAATTAGTAATTATATTCAATTTATAAAACAGAAAGTTTTCTATAACATATAGAAATATAAATGAGAAAATGTCAAAGTTGGATTGTTATATACAAGCACACATTTTTGATCTATTAGCAATTCTATTTCCACTTCTATTAAATCAATGAACTATATTGAAGTACTGCTTAGTACAGTTCAGTTGAACCACCTGCAAAGCGGAAGAGTACAATTTTGGTTTGATGATAATTGGTGAACATTCTTTCCCCCTGTGTTCCAATTTGGTCATTTTGTCGCCGAAGGACAATATTGTACCAAATGAGTTAGGTAACAGGAGCAATGGTTACAACTGCTGTTGCCAATTGGAGTTGAACAATGGCACAATGAGACAATGGGAATAGGTATTAGCAAAGCAACCAAACTTTGCCAGGATTGAGCATTTACTTTTGCCTATGTTCTCGTGCTTCTGAAGAACTTTCTCAAATTTTTTAATCTTTGTAATTCAATTTTTTTAATTTTAATTCAATGTTTGCACTATTATAAAAAAAATTCTGTGTGTAATTGTGACTGTAAGACTACACATTTTATAATTAAATTTACATATTAAAATTTTACTAAATCTAATTAGAGTTTTAACTATTTCTCCTAGAAATAATTCCTTACCTCCATACTCTCCCTTATTCCAGTCAATAACTACTTCACTCATCCAAATTGTGTTATTATTTTATGTTTTAAATCAATTTAACCTCACTTTATCTTAATATACTTTCTATACAAGTACTAGAAGAATGTACATTTAAACATATAATTTCATTTATAGGTATAATTTCTTTTTGAAAAGAGCTCTTGCCTGTAAAATATTTAAAAAATTTACATCAGAAAGGATTTTTACTTTAGAAAGAGGGATGTTGAGGGATCACCAGGTTATAAGGGAAAAAAAAGCAGGATTAATAAAAAATACAATAAACAGTTCATAAAGTTTATTTAAGATAAAAGACCCTAATAAAATTGAAATTAACATACATCACTATCATACCTTTATCCAAATTCATATATGTACTTAAAAAGGCATTTTCAAAATAATATACACTTCAAATAAAGTCCCTTGATACCGTGATTGCTTTCGGTAACAAAAAAAGACTCATGACGTTAGAAGGTTGGTTTGAAACAAAAAAAGTCATTTCTCTTCCTTATTCATTAAGCATAATCAAAAACCAAACACCTTAATTCTAACCGTTAAAATAAATGAAAAGTCAATTTTCAAATGAACTGTGCTTTATTTATGTGAACTTGGTCTAAATTTTCCATTCCCGTTAGATTAACTTTCAATCGCATAAATGCAAATAGTAATTCTTCTTCAGCAACAGAATCTCTATTAGAAACAATAGGCAAAACGAAATGATCTTTTTGAAATATAAAACAATTAACTAAAGATGCGGTCAACAAACGATTGAAAAACAGTTGAACAAAGATAGAATCGAACGGGTGATTTGGAGACTTGCTTGATAGGATATGTTTTTCTTTTTTTTTGTTTTAATTAGACAGCAGTAGCCTCAGCCACAGGTTCTGCACGAACAATTGGTTTTGCAGCCTCGACGCTGAGGTCCATTGCTGGGCCATCTTCCGATTTGACAGATAATCCTTGGAGAGATGCAACTACTTCATCAACTCCAGCAGTCACCATCGGAATGGTCTCTTGAGCTACATGGTGTTTGCGCTAAAATCAAATCAGAATAAATATGACAATATTATATTAATTATAATATAACTACTCTACCTTAGCAAAGTGAAGCAAAGCAACACCCTTGGTTGCACGCCATGAGATGTCATTTGGCCTTACACCACGCTCAATGAGAGCAGCTTTGAGATCTCTTATACGCACTGATGAGGTCAGCCCATTAACACGGATGCTAAAATCTACTGTGTAGCGTGGTTTGCTGATTCTCCTCATAGGGCCTCTGCGCATTGGCTTCACACCAGTTTCTCTTTGACCTTCAACCTTTAAAACAACATAATTCTGATTCAATGTTACATGTCCATACAGCATTTTAAAACTTACTTTTGGCGATTCGGCACCTGCCGGCAGCTGCCTTCTCGGCCTTCTGCGGAATGTTCTGCTGGACCTGTTTGGAGGGGGTGCACTTGATTCCCTCCTAATCGGTCTTCCCTGTTGCCTTTGCTCAGGCGCTGATGCCTGCCTCCTACGTCTCATAAATCTACGCCTACGAATTGGCAAGAAGGGGCGCTGTGACTCTGGTTCAGAGTCTACCTCCTTCAATTCTATCTTGTTCCCGCCCAACTGTTCTTTGTCAAGCAATTGCCTTATTATGGGTATATCGTTCACACGCCTATTTGATAATAAGTTCCACATCAAACTTGGTCGTGGAAGTCGTTTTTCTACTTCTATCACCTGAGTAGGTGTGACTATGACATCGACTGGTACATCATGCGGTTTAAACATTGATTCAGGGAATTCATCATACACCTTTAAAATGTTTTATGTTATATAAATGGTATAATTGGAAAGAAACAGTTTCACACATACCTGAACATCATGTACAATTGTTGCGATGACAGCATTCGGGGAAATGGCTCCAAGTTTGGAAAGGAGGGCATACTCTAAATCTGAAAATCCTTCTCCTTTCCCAATACGATGACCTATTAAACAAAGAATTATTAATTTTACTGTAAAGCTTGAACGATAATTTAAAAGCTAATGTTATAGAATTAACCTTGTTTAACACAAACATCAAAGTGTAAATCATGTATTTGACCTTTTGAAGCCTAGTTTTCAGACAATATTAAACAATCAGCAAGATCACTATGATTATTAATACACTGTATTGTGTTATAGATATATTAAAACCAAGATAATCTAAATCAGAAGTTCAAAGGACTTTTGAACCTATACCATTTGTAAGCATAACCTCAATCTGTAAAAATTAAATGAAATCCTCTTAATGAACAAATTTTATGAAGTTAATGCCTTCTTGACATTATGTTTCCTACCAATTACAAAATATTTTTTACACATAGGATCAAAAATTTAAAAATGTAAAGATGAGAAATTTGATGGATGAACCATCAAATATTTTAAGATGTTTATACTGGTAACACGTACCAGTAGGTAAGAAAAAGACATGTTCGCAATTATGAAATTTACCTTTTTTGTCTACCGCCACCGATCCTAGGATGACGAGATCAGCCTTTGACTCGGAAGAAAAGTCAAGGGCCATGCCCAAATGGTGGATTCCGATCCTTGATGCTGCCATTTTGTTAGCCATCTTGTTCGGCTCCATCGGTGGTCTCATTAGGAGGAACACGGCTTCCCGCAGGCCTGGAGTTCCGGCCACTAGCTCCTTCCCAGACTAAAAAAAAATACATTTAAAAATAACACAAAGCAGATTTAAAATATGCATCATGATTTACCTGAATGACTTCAAGCCGGACTCGCTCATGTGCTTTATCGAGGTTAACTTTAACAACTTTAGCACTCTTAAATATATCAAGCTGTGCGAGCCTCTCAACGGCTTCGTTCTCGCCCTTGATCCGAGGTATTCGGTACTTGCAAGGTCTCGGAAACAGGACGAGGTCGGAACTTTCGAGTTTAGCCCACATTTGGTTCCTTATACTCGCCTTTGTAGGCTCTTCCTCCTTCCCCTTCGGAGGAGTCACCTCCTTCTCGACTTGAGTCTGAGCCTTGACCTCACTAGCTGCTCAAACCAAAAATTAATTTAACAAATTTTTTAACCAACTTAATAAAACTAACTACTAGCATTTATCATTATCATCTCAATTGTAATGTATCAATTTTAAAAATGTGATCCTGACCAATATGTTGATTATGCTTGAAAAATATTCTTTACATATTTCCAAAAACTATATTGTATTCCTTTAAATATTTTAATATAACTTGTTTAAATTCAGCTTATTAAGTTAGCTTAATTTTTATTTCATTAGTAATTTTCCATGAATACTCTTGATCATGGTCTTGAAAAAGCAAATCCTTGGGACTGAGTCGATCTTCAAACAAATTTCAAACCATCTGTGCAAAAGCTTAAGTCAATTTGTAGACATTTAATGATGATAAAATAGGTCAAACGTATGGCACTAAAAATTTAATTTGCTTTTCCATCATGATATGTCATGATCGAGAATACTCATGAGTAGAAAATTGGTCAATACATCTAAAACTTAAAGTTAGGAATTTTTAAACTATGCAAACTTTTAGCACTATTTGTAATTAAGATTTATTTTTGAAATCTCCTTTAATATTACACATATTTGTGTACCCCTAATTACCTGTTTGAATTTTAAATTATTTTACATTTCACTGTAATATGGAGTTTTTCAAGCCAATCTTTAAATGGAAAAACTTCATAAAAAGTGAAAGAAGAGATTATTGATAATTAATATGAATGTAGGTAAGGTCCCTTCTGAAAATTATTGGAAAAGGGCTAAGAATCAGCCTAACAGGTTGTTAAAAGTTAAAAAAAAAACTCATATTTTTTGTTTATATTAACAAGTGTTTATACAACACTTATTTTAATATAAACCAAGTTAATACCAGTAATTCATGAGTTTATAATAAAAATATTTAATTATGATGGTTTGAAAGAAAATTCAACAAAACCAGAAAATCATCTATGATAGAATTAATTTAACTCAAAATTTATTGCCTGGTTTTTCTCATAATAATACATTAAGAACAAAATAATGTAAAAAAATGGTTAGTTAAATTTTCATTTATCACTAAATGGATTTCCAGTTTTGGAGAATTGTCTTTCAAACCATCATAACTAAACATTTTTTTTAATTAAAACTCATGAATTTCTGATTTTGTTTCATTTCACATAAAAAAAGATTAACAAAATACGTCCGGTTTATTTAGTTGTTGAGTGTATTTCAACAAAATAAAAATTAGAAATAATAAAGGTCAGCTGATTAAAATGTTAAATAAATAAAACCATAAAAAAACACCTGAATAAATTTGAACAACTGATTTTAAAAATACATAGTAAAAGTTTAAATTATCGAACTGTTGTAAAATAGTTTCTACTTTTGAATTTAAAAAATTTAACTTTCTTTTTTAATGAGAAATTTAAAAAAAAATTATGTGCAGAAATTTTTTTATAAAGTTACAAGTAGACATTTGAGTAAAGTTTTTCTTTAAGGAAACTATTTTTAGTTATTGGTTTTTAAAAAAAAAAGACACATGGTAAAGGAATTATACAGTAATGTACTAAAGTAAAAGCTTTTTATTAAATTATGCAAGATCGTGCAAGATAGTTTGCAAATGTATGATGAAACAAGTTTGGGCATGCACTATCTTGCAAAAGTTTTAAGTATTTTATTAACATAGCCCTGTGCCGTTTAGCAAAGTAAAGAAATAGTTTCTAAAGAAAAAAATTGTTAAAACTTACGCTTAATTTCATCTCCAGCCGTCATTTTGTTCCTTAAGTTAGCAAAGATTCAAAATTTCCAAAGAAAAAATGTCGTTATGAAAATAAATTGAAATGATGCAGTTAAGGGACAAGGAACTGCTGTATCGACTTTTTTCCTTCAGAAAAATTATCACCGATTTAGGATTTTTCTAGAAAAAAGGAGATCCTTTTGTAAGCCTAAATGGTCCCGGGGTTGGGTTGTGGGGGGGTTCGAACTCTCGCTTGAGCGGATTTTTCTCTCTTCCTTTTTCACTGGGCAATCTCAACTCCTACTGATGCCGGCCATGTGATCCTCGCCCTTTTTATAGGCTCGGTGCCGGACCGGCAGAAGCTACACAAATCTTAATTGTGGATGGTGCAAAGTTCGCTACGTTCCGAACCCGGCTAATACCGCCTGGGACGAAAGGGAAAACACCGGCCGCTTATCTTCGGCCCCGGCCGAAATTTAAGCCTTTAAGACCATTAAAACTGAGTTTTAAATAGCGATCACCCTTGATAAATACTTTTGGGCTGATAAAGGCCGTGATTCAAATTTTTTTATTGTTTATTTAAAATCATATGATTTACATATTTTGGATTTTGATTAAAAAGTCAATTTTTCGAGTCGGTCCAAATCGTGGGTACCCGATGGTTCATGTCAAAACTTCTCTCCTCGAACCAAGAAAATATAAGAAATTATTTATTATCATTATTATTATTATTATCTCAGAGTACTCAACCTTATCAGAATAAATAATATATTTTGCAGAATTAATCCAATTTACAAAAATGTTTAAATATAGAAATACACTATACATAAAATATAACAATAAAAAGAAAAAATTAAGAAAAAGGGAAAAATCACTGAAGTATTAAACAATATGTAAAGTAAGAAAATAGCTTAAAAGAACGTTTCATATAAATATACCAAAAAAAGATCACATATTGTTATTGTTAATTTGTAAATGATCATTGTAAATTAATATATTTTTCTAACATTATATAAATAATATTAGAAAACACATAAAAATATATTGACTAACTAAGTAAAAATATGAGTATTTTGTGCACACTTTGGTTTAATTACATTGAGTAAAAAATTTAATTACAAATTATATAAACTTAAATATGGAAATTAAATGCATACACGTTAAATAATTTGTACGAAAACATTTTATCAATATGAAAATAATGAAAGATAATTTAGCTTAAAATATACATAATAAGTCAAGATTTAACGTGTCTGCACACTAGACTGTACGATGAAGAAAAAGGAGAATTGAAAGATCTCTCTGCTCAACCGTGATCCGCATTCTCTCAACCAGTGGTCAAGAAATAACGGCATTCTTTTAAACCGTAACAAATCCCAGTCCTTATTAATTTCCAATAAACTTATTAGTACAGATTGCCTATCCCTTTCTCGTATCAACGGCTCCCATATTAATTTCTGCCCTAAAGTTAAAAATCTCGGCGTTATTTTTAACTCCTAGTTTACTACATGGCATGACTATGTGAGCTCTATTATTAAAAAGATCTACGCAAGCCTCCATTCTCCTTAACGCCTCAGCTTTTTCATTCCACAGAAAACTAGAGTTCCTCTTATTATACCCCTAATAACTCCTTTATTCTCTTATTGTAGCACTATTTTTTCACTTTCCTTAGCCTCTCAATCTGCTCATCATCTTTAAATTGCAATTCGTGCATTAGATACTGTTATGATCATATTTCACCCTATAGCCTTCACCTTCTAAACACTTATAAACTTAGTTTTAATATATATATTTAAAATTAAATAAAATAAATGTTCTTGATATCTATCAACTGTTTTTCTCATTCCTTATCAAAACACACCAACCATATCCCAAGCCTTCAACACTCCTCTAAACCTTTAGCCTTTTCCTTCAGAATTGCTGGACAAGGCTGTGGAATTTGCTTACCACTGGCTTGTTTTAGTTCCATGGCATCTGAATTTTTAAAATCGACATGAATCGTCTCCATTTATTCCTCTTCTGATCAAGTGACATGTAAAGATTGATCAAGGCATTTGGGCTGAGATCAAAACAGTAACGGGATAAAAATCGTAGCAGTTTTCAACTAGAGGACTTAATATGATCACATTGGGCAATAAAATTTAATTTGTTGCCAAAAGTAACACCGAGGTCTTTAGAAGTAGTTTTAAAAGGAAGAGTAGTATTATGAATAAAGTAATTGAAGGTATAATTAATCTTAGCCTGGTAAAAGCTGATAGAATAGCATTTATCAATATTATGAAATAGATTACAATTAATTAAGGTTTTTAGTTGAGATAAAAAATTCAGTGGAACGAGCGGGATTCGAACCCATGATTCGACCCAATCTCAACCGCACCTTTTTGAATTTTCCCCCCTTCAGATGGGAAGTTGGTGTCCGAGTGGATCAAGGTCACGATAGCTCAAGTGGTAGAGCAGCGGCGTATCAAGCCAAAGATCGTGGGTTCGAATCCCGCTCGTGCCATTGACTTTTTTTATCTCAACTAAAACCGTAATTAATTGTAATATATTAATTGGTCAAGCGGACCACGAAATTAGTGAAATTATGAAATAGATGGTTCTGTAAAGACCAGTGATAAAGAGCATTCAAGTCAGCTTAGTGTTCATCTTCAGGGGTAATAGGCATCAAAAATTTTATGTCATCTGCAAAGAGAAGAGAAGTTGAGTATTTTAGAATAGAAGGAAGGTTATAGATGAATAAGAGTGGAGATAAATGAGCCCCTTGGGGAACACCAGAAGAAACTTTTATTATTGAGATTGGTTTCTGCCTAGTATCACAATTTTAGTTAGATAATAGAAATCCAAAAATCATCCTGAAATCTCAACAGATTCAAGTATTTACAATAACAGGTTATGATCAACTCTCTCAATTGCTTAAAAAAAAGCAGTGTTTAGTGATGCCATGTTGAGAGCGATGCAAGAATTGTTGGAAAGTAGATGATATAAGTAATACTGGTAATGATTTTTTTCATAAAGTTTGAGAAGAATAAAAACACAGCGATAGTTGTAAAGATTGTCTTCTAACCAAAACTCAAAATATCCCAATTTTTCAACTGCTGTTCATATTGCTAGTATATGTTACTAACTGAATAAACAAGTTGATTAAAAAAAATTTAATTTTTATTACAGACTGCAATTTGTGGTTACAATATGTAATTTGATGATCATAAATATACTTACAGCTATTTGCATATTTACATTGAGGGGAGTAAATAATCAATATCAAGCTTCCACTTCACAGCCTACTCCTCAGAAAGGGTGTCGCTGGGCCATTTAGCATTGTATGGATGGGTTTTGTGGGCAAAAGCAAGGGTGAAACTATTGGGGGTGATTGCTAAAGATTGTTGTGGAACTTGGTAAATTTTTGAGGAATTATGTTTTGGATAAATGGATTTTAAGGTCACCGTGGAGGGTAGTGTAGGAGACATAATACAGATCATTTATAATTGATCTGAGGACTTTAGACTGAAAAGATTGGAAGGCTTAATGATGGCCCAGTTCTATTCCATACGTCCAAATAGTAGCTTTTTAGCCTATAAGTTTGTAGAGTAAACTGTGATATGTCTCTGCAAATCTTCCAAAACAACCTTGGGATCGGGGTTATAAGATAGTACAGCTGTGTCATCGGAGGGTGGTAGGTATAGTTGTAACATCTGCAGTATAAAAGATACAAAGGATTGGTCCGAGCACACTACCCTATGGTGATTGAAATGAATTTACTTCAAAATATGAATTTGCCACTTTTAGAATGCAATGGAATATTTTTATTCTGACATAAGTGCAAAAGCCTGCACACATTAAATAAATTATAATTAAATTATAAAACATGAATATAAATTAGTTAAACATAACAGATATAATATTGACACTGGTTTTGATTCTCTAAAAGTAAAAATACAAAATTAAATAGTGCAATTCCTTGGCTCCATGCAGAGATCCAACCCGACACGAGAACTGTGTTTGAGCGCAATAGTGAATCTGTTTCTCCTATTCTGATTTTTGGATTATTGTAGATAGTTCTGATAGTTTGTGTCCCTGTGATAGTGTGTTGAGAATGAATGTATATATTGGCATGAATGTACAGTGTGAGAGAACAAATGGCGGAATATTGAACACCCACTAGGTTAATACTAAATTTTATCAGCTTCTATTAAATATATAATAAATATATATTTTCATTTTGAAAAAAATTGTGTATAATTAATTGAGTATTTATATATTTAATAGAAACTGATAAAATTTAGTATTAATCTAGAATCACACCTGTGAATCATACACAGTCCCACTAATCTAGTACAATCGTTAATAAAAAGTGTTTCAATATGAAGCCATGATTTGCTTACAATTAGAATAAAATCGGGTAGTCGAAATGAGAAGTTTGTGGCATGGGCGATCGAAGTCACGGTAGCTCAAGTGGTAGAGCAGCAGCGTATTAAGCCGAAAGTCGTGGGTTCAAATCCCGCCTGTGACACAAATTTTTCATTTTGAAAAAAATTGTGTATAATTAATTGAGTATTTATATATTTAATAGAAGCTGATAAAATTTAGTATTAATCTAGAATCACACCTGTGAATTGTACACAGTCCCGCTAATCTAGTACAATCGTTAATAAAAAGTGTTTCTATATGAAGCCGCGATTTGCTTTCAATTAGAATAAAATCGGGTAGTCGAAATGAGAAGTTTGTGGCATGGGCGATCGAAGTCACGGTAGCTCAAGTGGTAGAGCAGCGGCGTATTGAGCCAAAAGTCGTGGGTTCGAATCTCGCCTGTAACTCAAAGTTTTCATTTAAAAAAAAATTGTGTATAATTAATTGAGTACCCACTAGGTTAGTTATATAGGAGTAAAGCATGATGGAGAAATATTAATAACTACACCAACCAGAAGGAATGGTATGTAAATAAGAAAGGCTTTACTTAAGAGTGAGTGAAAGTGAGAATAGGTTTGGTTTTAGGAACGGAAATGACCTAGCTGTTGACATCATCTGAAGCCCAACCACCATGGCTAGATTGATAAGGCATAGGAATGAATTGTGTTTATGTATGTGCAGATTTGAGCTTATATAAATCAGTAATCAATAAAAGGAAAAAAAAGTGTATTGTAAATATAAATGTAGGCTTATGGACAAAAAGTTTACAAGAAAACCACTGAGTGGTTGCCACCAAGGAAAGGTACTGACAAGAACGTTTTTGAGAATTTTAGTGGACTAACTATAATTAGCATTGACTTACATGGGACTTACATTGCATTGTTGTAACAATTAGGCAAATTATTGGAAAAAGCCTTAAATGTTATAATGAAATCGTGTCATGATAAGGGTCTAAACATAAATCTCTTAAAAGCAACAATTGTGCTTTTCACAGTAAAAAATGCTCTATCTTACTGTTTTAACCTTGCAAAACCAAGAAATAAAACATTCCAAAGAAGTTACATATCTAGATGAAGTTCTGGACCAAAGGTTAACCTGGAATGCACACCTTATGAAAACCCAAGAGTGTTACTGGCACAATGTATTCCAAAGAATGTGACAAAACTTGGGGACTATACCTTAAAATGGTCTATTGTCCTTCCTTATGATTGTCAGTCCCATGATCAAATCCTGCCTAATGAGGTAGACTCCTAGGTTCCTTCACCTTCCTTTTCAAGAGATTTATAAATCTTTTAGCTTCCCTCGTCCATTTTATATTGTGCTTATGTTTCTTTCTTAAGCCATTTTTCAGTATCAACTTTAGCACACACTCCAATGCACCTAATTGCTCAGCCTACCTGACCAACCTAACCTAAACTAGCCTGTCCAACCTGTAAAAANACTATATATATATATATCCTCTATACCTTCTTGTGGTGGAATCCACTTTAAAGTAACCTTGTCATTTCCCAGTGCCATTAAACAATTTAGGTACTCCCCGATACGGTTGTGGCTAAAAGAATACACAGTTAGTGCCTTTATAGATGCCAGAACGTCTGGAAATACCTAGATCTGTGCACATTCATACTTTTATGAACTCTTGTGCATAGAGTTCTATTGGATGGACCACAGCTTGGAAGATTGTTGGGATTAGCCCAAGGGGTTTTGTTAGGTGCCCTAACATTAATTACCCTATAGGTAATTTGCACCTTTTACCTCTATACCCTACAATTCATTTAGTTTTCATGCTAATTGACTATCACATTGATGTAAAAGTCTTTAATTAAAAATATTACTAACAAGGATAATTGTTAAATAACACATTTAAGATTAGAAGCAGAAGTTAAAAACATAATTAGATGACAAATACATAAATCTGGTTTTGTATAAATAAAATAAAGCATGCAAATGTAAGTCTCAATTCTAAAAGCACAGATTTTAAAATCTTGTGTGTCTAGTATGTAAATCATAGCTGAGATCTATCTTATCTCTAGGGTAACAATTAATTTGTGAGAGTTCATGTTGTAGTTTGCGGATTGATGAACCTGTAATTTGGTCGTTACCAATCATTTTGATATGACCATCCTCAGTGGGGTCCTGAATTGGAGTAAACGACCAAATAAAGCTTAATTTACCAACAAATTTGAATAAACTTTGACTAAACCGTCATTATTTTAGCTGTTTTTTTATTGTATCTTTTTTTATAAATTTGTAATCTAGGTCTTGATTGAACACTTTCACGGTTGAATTACATTTCCTAGCTGCATTTAGCTATAAAAAAAAAATGTAGGTGTACAGTCAAAGCCCTATTGATAATGAATCACTTTGTTATTGAGATTAATTTTTAAATTTTTTTAAAATTGTACTATAAATTATATTTTTCAGGGGAAATCATCAGTTTAATTAATTTAACCATTAGAAAACAAGGGCAATTAATGATGCCAACTTTACTTTATCGATTTATTTTAGATTATAAAAATAAACATCAAATTCTAGAATATAAAAAATAGATTCAAAAATATATTGGTATAATTTGAAATACAGTAACATTAAAGATGTATTTTTATATTATTTTTATGTACTTAAAAGTTTTTAAAAATACAAGACAATTTATAACTGACTATGACTACACAAGTATATAAAAATAACAAAAAGCTATAGCTAAAAGAAAAACAGAAAATAATTATTGACAAAATATATTAGTAATGTTCAATTGTTGAAAAGGATGACAGGCTGAACACTTTTATTTAAATGTACTAACAATGTTTAAACAAAAGCCAAGCAAATTCAAACTTTTGTTCTTCTACTGTACGAACATATTGGATACATTTCCAAATATACAAATATTTTTTTTTGGTTGGCTTTGCCTCAATGCATCGGCCAAATAATATTTTTAACATTTGATTTAGCAAATAGAGTAAATTATATAATATTGTAATCTCAACAAGAAATACTGAAATAATTCTTTCAACAACAAACATTTTTATTTTGTCACAAAAAAATAGTTGGAAGTCTATCAAAATATATTGTTGAGTTTAATAACTCCATAAAAATAACATATTTTTCAAATATCACTTATTTAGAAACCTCTGGTTTAATTTTGATATTCTATGGTTACTTTCTTGAAAATTTTCCATTGGCGTAGTGAAAAAAATCTATTTATATATCACAGGAATTCAATTTCTAGTCTTTATTCACAATTTTTGAAATTGGTTACTTTATCTGAATTGAAACTCAAACGTTTATTTTGTTTTTTCTTAAATATTTTGGAAGACTATTTGTTTAGACAAAAAGTAAATTATTTCACAGATTGTGCTGTTGTACAACCAGGAACAAATCAATTCCTACCAATGATAACAGCATTCAGTAGAATCAACTTTTTTCTTGATTAAAATAAAATAACACATTTCCGAACCCTCTGGGTGGGGTCGCAATTCATTTTTACATACGAAAATTTTAAACCTTTTTGTGATGATGGAATGTTTTATAATTGTTTTCATAATCTTTGTGAACGTTGCAACAGGCGGCATTGGCAGCCATGTAAGCTGCGCCGATAGCAGCAGACCTCTGAAGTACCAAGAGGGAAAATTGCGTGATTTTCCCTGAATCTTGTTGGAATTGATTCATAAAACCGGTCCTGAGCAAATCCCAGCTTTTCCAGACGGACCCAACGCAGACGACCGCTAGGCCACCTTCGGCCTCCAGTAATTCCTGCAAATATCGAAAATTTTCAAATTCCATCGCTGTACCACATAAGCAATACATACCGGGACAATATTGTGTGAAAGGGCAGTTAAGTATTTAGCAAGCTCTTCCCCCGCTTTCTCAAATATCCATTTGCACAGCAAATCGCCTTCCCTTGCCTTCTCCGAAAGGACTTTGCATAGTTGTGCAAATTTGGACTTATCAAAATTCTTGTACAAGTGCGGCAACAATTGCAGTCTGGAAAATTTTCACACAACTTGGAAAAAATAATCTTTGAACAGTATGAATGAAACATACCTATTTTTAATTCCAAAAAATGTCTTGATAGTTTCCCAAAGGATGTCCGTATCGTATCCGTATGGTACAGTTTCAAGTCGATCTGCATGGTTGAAATAGATTTTGAGTGCTTTGTGCGATATCCAGTAAGCTGAAAAGTTTAGTTTTTTTTGTATTTACGGTTCATAATAGAAAATGTGAAATTTCTCCATGTGGTCTGAGGAATCTGCAATTTGGTCATTACTGATCCTTCGTTATCAACCACTGGTGTAGTTCAAATGCATCTCATGACCCAGCTAGGAAGGCAGAGCAAAATTGTCAGTAATGACCAAATTTCAATGTTTTATACTTTATTTTATAAATTATTAAGTAAACACCTGAGCCTTCATCGCCAAGCATGTATCCCCAGCCTCCACAACTGAATTGAGTTCCGTCTGGATTGATAACAAGGGCATTTGAACCAGTTCCAGCTATCAAAACTACCCCACCTGAAAAAAAGAAAACTAATAAATTAAACAAAAGCTTCTGGTAATTGCAATTTTCTATAAATGAGAATGTTAAAAAGATAATTAAGAAGTGAAATAATTAGGAAGCAGCCATGCAATATCACTTCTACTATATCAAGAAAAACTCTCTTATTTAATTGGATGAACAAAACAGCCAATTTCCTTTAATTTAATGAATAAACAAAAAACAGTAATCATATTATTGCAATGATTTTTTAAATTTATTTCTGAAATTAAGAACAATTAAAAAATACATGCATTATTTAACATGAATGAAGAGAAAGGTTGACCGACATTCCTACATAGTGGAAATTCTGGCTCCTTCTCAAGGCAGTGAATTTCTAGGACCCTAATTTGTTTAATATTAGGAAATATTCTGATGTGCAAGTTTGAGTGAATGTATTTATTAGCTTACAATTAATTACGGTTTTTAGTTGAGATAAAAAAGTCAATGGCACGAGCGGGATTCGAACCCACGATCTTCGGCTTGATACGCCGCTGCTCTACCACTTGAGCTATCATGACCTTGATCTACTCGGACACCAACTTCCCATCTCAACCGCACCTTTTTGAAGGAGGGAAAATTCAAAAAGGTGCGGTTGAGATTGGAAGTTGGTGTCCGAGTGAATCGAGGTCACGATAGCTCAAGTGGTAGAGCAGCGGCGAATCAAGCCGAAGATCGTGGGTTCGAATCTTGCTCATGCCATTGACTTTTTTATCTCAACTAAAAACCGTAATTAACAATAATATATTAATTGGTCGTGGACCACAAAATTAGTGAATTTAAGTATTTATTAGCACGAACATACGGTGTTTGAATGTCATTAAGACTATCAAGTGGTTTGCATTACTTAAGATTTTAAAAGATTTATGATTAGAGATTTTTCAACTAGCTCAACATAACATGAAAGAATGAAGGAATAATGAGCTATGCATATTTAGTTGGGATTTGGAACTCCCCCAATTTTTATATTAATGATTTATGAAGAAATGTGGATGTTTATTACTTTTGATCTTTGGGAGTTGAATGACCTAGTTGTTGATAGTCCTGAATGAGCAGGATTGAGAATAAATTACACTGTGATAGTTTTTAATGCTTACCGCCTTCTTTTACAGTGGCCAATGGTCCCATTGTGTCACTGCAAAGCACATACTGGTCACAAAGACCTGGATAGTTCTCAAAAAAACCTCTTTCAAGCTCTTCAGTGCTCGACTCCTCTGCAATCCCACTAAGGCTGAGGCACTAAAAATAAAACAGTACAACCGTCAGATTAAGCTTGAAATATTTATGGCTGGATGAAATAACATTGAAATAAAGAAACTCACTAAACATTTGAGTTTCGTGTTTGTGGGAAGGTTTGCTTTCTTCAAGGCGTTTTCAACCAATGTTACTATCCTATTTCTAGTCTCCACCATTCCTATAGTCTAAAATTTATTAAAATAAACTATATGAAATAATAAATACAGTGAGTATTGCTCGACGTACCCAAAAATTTGTTCCTGGGCCAAAGGCTTCTGCTAGGCATTTTCCATTGCTGTCAAGCAACACTATCGATGACACACTAGCACCTCTAAAACAAGTTTTTTTTTAAAATGATAAATAAAATTACCTTAACATTTTTTTAAGATATATATTTTAAAATTGATTAACTAGTAAGCAATCGTGGTAAGAATATACTTTCTAAATTATTTTAAATTTTAATTCATTGTGGATCAATATGAGCTTTAATACTAAAAATTATTAATAAATAAAAAACATGTCACTACAACCAAAATATTTGATAAAAAGGAAAACTATGAAAATGTGGGTCAAGGACCGAAATAGAGAAAATACTGAAAAATGACAGTAAAGAAATTTTACCCATTCATGCAGAACAATCGATTTGCTATAACTGATGTAATAGAAAAAGAACCTTAAAATTTCAGCTCTCCTTTCTAAAGAAATACGGCAAAGCACCACTATATCCAGTATGAAAACATTATCCACTACCGAAAATAAATTGAAAACTATATTTTTTATACTCCTTTATTGAATATGAAATAATTTCTTTCTGTTGGAAAAACATTTTACAATCAAATTACAGCTATAACTATTATAAATTAATGACTAAAATATTAAAATTGTTCAACCAGAGGTGCAACAACAGTTTTAAAATGACACTTTAAACAATGAATCACTTCGGTAATGAATAAATTACATCATCTGTTAAGCATGACGGAAATATAATCTTTACCTACAGTTAACTCACAACAGGAAACAAACTTGGATTTCTGTATTAAACGTGCAAATTAATGAAATACCTAACATGCATACTGGTGAAAAAATATCTAAAAGATCTTTTTACAACAAATTCGACATGTTCAAAATCTTTTTCAAGAAAATAATATTGTTTTTAAATGAAACAATGAGAGGAAAAATATGGAATTTATATTACTACCAGATAAAAGGGTTTTTGACAAAAATTGACAAATAAAAGGCAATAGCACATAATAAAAATAGATTTTTTTTTCCAAGAAATGTTTTTCATATTTATTTATTTTATTTTAGATACCAACCACATATCATTAACAGACCCATCAGTCTATTATAAACCAAAACGCTTCCTATCCATTCTTTATTGTCTTATATTGAAATCCTATCAACCGTTTCTTCAGAAAGAGATGCAGAACGAAACTGAAAATATACAAGCCAGCATCCTACAAGGGAGCGTTCTTGACCCAACTATACATCCTAATACCATCATGAACACCTATGAGGATGATACCACAATTTTGTCTTCTAACTCGAATCCTATCCAGCTATGACCAACAACCAAAAACACCTTGAGTTTATCAAAGACTGGGGTAAAATATAAAGGGCAAGACTGAATAAAGAAAAATGTCCTCAGTGTCGTTCACATTGAAAAATGAGTCTTGCCATCCACTGAACAAAAAAGAGATGCCGATTTACAAGCATGTCAAATACTTTGGACTATACTTAAACAATAGACTGACGAGGAATCCCCACACGAGACTAAATAGACAACAACTTAACAGAAGACTTGGACAATTACGAAGATGTCTAGACCACTTCTAAAATTCGTGTTAACCATAATCACTAACTAACCTATCATAAACTAACCTTATACAAGACATGTACTGTGAGAAAAACTATTATTTTCTCTGTACAAATGTGAAAAAATATACAAATGTATGTAATTTCAAAGGATCAAGGGCTTAGGAATGTCCAAATGACTTTATCCTGCACAAATCAATTTTGTTTGAAATAAATAAATAAATAAATAAAATAAAGCTAACATATGAAACATCCATGTGTCAAGCAGTAATCAACGAAAAAATGTCTTTGTTTTTTCACTTGTCTTCTCACGATTGACATAAAAAAATAACAGTGAAGTTTTGGCCTTATTTGCATTAAACAATTTCTGTACTGTTCTAGTGAGAATTCATATTTATAAACATGCAATGCAGATAGATTTAAGTCAAGAAGTTGTTTGATGAGTTATGCATGTTATAAATAGTTTTAATCATAATTAGATAATGTTTTAAAGACTCAGCTAAGCTGAGCCTAGTGTTTTCTATATCAATTAGACTAAATAAGACACGGCGGAGCTGAGGTCTGGAAAAGATCCTATTCCCACACTCTTCGTGCAGACCATTTCGTAATAACATCTCAGTCATATTATTTTAGGGATGGTTAGGGAGTTTGGAGGTTGTTATTTGCCTCAAGAGAGGAACCAGATAGCCACGAAATGCATGAGGAACAATTAAGCTAGTTGAAGCAATTTGCAATTTATTTGTCTCAGTCAATCATCAAAGAAAGGACAATCAAACCAAAAAAGAAGAGGAGTAACCTTTTTATTTTATTACTTAATTTCGATTTATTGTTAATTATTTCTAATTTTTTATGCAAAGATGGTTGAGAATAAAAATTAGTGTTACATATGGGATATGAACACACGAGGTTGTAGGTACGTATCTTGCTCATGACACTAATTTTTCTTCTCATCCACCATTGCGTAAAAAAATAGTATTTTTTTATATATCTTGTTTTTATTGAAATGGTTAAATGGCAAATTTAATAACTGCCAACTGTTAGAATCTATTAATATAAATGTTTCTATAAAGATAAGAAATGTTAAAACGTTTTATTCAAACTTGTCTTCAACAAATATATGCTGCACAATTCTTGTAATAGAATGATGATCAAAGATATTAAATTTGATTTCGATTGGTTTCATGAAATTTTATCAAAACTAAAAAAGAAAATTGTAAATAGCAACAAATGTCAAACGAATTTCAATTTTGTGTTCAAAAATAAAATTTCATTATAATTATGCACAATTGTTAAAAAAATTCTTGTATAAACTATGGGACGCAATCCTGTTAACAAAACAAATAAATGTGATACAAACACATATATTTGACAAAAGTAAAGTTTCAGCCTTTTTATTGATTTTTTTATTAGTACATTAATATGTTTCTGCATTATTAAATCTTCAATATAAAATTATGTCATTACGGGTTAAAATATGTAATCTTTTGTTATTTAAATGTAAAATTATATATCTTTCCCTTTAAAAAAATTTCTCTTAATTGGCCTACTAATATATTCCTGCATACTTAACTCTTCAATATTACCAAAACAATGTGTAAATTTCTTAATAAGACTTACGGTTGCTTTATCCCTGATTTTTTTATACACATAATTTTTATATCTAGTTTATGACTTACAATTTATTTTCAATTAAGAGTTAAACATTAGTACATATTGTTATGAAAGGTGTAAAATTAATGTGATTTTGCCTGGAAAAAAATGTGACATTAAACACAGGCATAAATTTAACAAAAGAAAAAGTTTCAGCTTTTTTAAATTTATTTTTCATTAACATATTTCTGCACTATTAAACCTTCAATATTGCAAAAATTAAAATAATGTAATTAAGAGTAATATTGTTACGGAAAATATAAAATTAATATATTTTTCCCATAAAAAATATCTCTAACATCTAGCCTAAATTTGTCGTAAAAGTAGTTCTGGCCATTTTATTTATTTCTATTAATATATTTTTGTATTCTTAAATCTTTCATATTAACAAAATAAAGTATTTACATTGGTTTATAAACTTAAGACTAGTTAATTACGATTTAAAAATCCTTACTTTTTTTTGTAATTTGTAAAATAAACATGTTTTTTCATAAAAACAAAAAAATAATGTCAACGAACAATATTTTAAAAAGTGTGACACTAAACAGCAGCGTAAATTTGGAGTGAAATTAATGCTTTGGCTTTTATTCGTTATTTATTAATTTAATTATGCATTATTAATATTCAATACGAGGAAATCAAATTATGTAATTAAGGGTTAAAATTCATCATATATTACTATACAAGATGCAAAATTCTTCTAAATTTAAAAATGTAAAAGATTTAGATGGAATATTTTTTCCATTAAAAAAATTGACACTAAACACTGTCATACAAAAGTAGTTCGTGTTTCCAGTCATTTCTTATAAAAATTAAGAATCAATTTTAATTAAAATGTAAAAATCCTAACATATTTTTTTTGTAATTTGTAAAATAAACGTTTTTTTTTTCATAAATATAAAATATTAAATAAATAAAAAACATTTTAAAAAGTGTGATATTAAACAATGGCATAAATTAGACGTAAAAGTTATGATTTTGGCTTTTTTTATTATTATTCTTATTAATGTACTTCTCTTTTATTAGATATTCACTATTAAATATTAGGAAAATAAAATGCAAGTTAAAAAATACTTGATTTATAAGACTTATTTTTGACTGAAAATAATATTTAATAACATATTTAGCCCTAATGGTTTTGGTAGATGTAGACAAAATTAACTCAAAAGCAAGAAAAAAAGGCTGGAATTTTATTGTTTATTTCAAACTATATTTATTTTTATCGTTAGATTAATTACAACTTATCTACTGTAATATAAACCAAATTAAACGAGATCAGGGTTTAAAAAAAAATAATTATGATGGTTTGAAAGAAAATTCACCAAAACATTTAATAACATTTTTAGCTCATATTGTTTTGGTAGATGTAGACAAAATTAACACAAAAGCAAGAAAAAAAGGCTGGGATTTTATTGTTTATTTCAAACTATATTTATTTTTATAGTTATACCAATTACAATTTATCTACTGTAACATAAACCAAATTAAACGAGATCAGCGTTTTTAAGAAAAAAAAAAGAAAAAAATAATTATGATGGTTTGAAAGAATATTCAACAAATTCGTAAAATGAATTAGTGGTAGATTAAAATTTCACTAACAATTTATTTTATTACTAAATTATTTTCGGTGTTTGGGTGAATTTCTTTCAAACTATTATAATTCACAATTTTCTATTAAAAACTTATAAATTTGTGGACTCGTTTCATTTGGTATTCATTAAGAAAAACATATTGTAATTAATAAAAAGATAAAAAAACATGTTAGTTTTAAATGAATGACAAAAAACTTTTTCTTTTCGTCTTTTTTTTATCTTTGTGTTTTAAAATTTTTCAACAAAATAGTGATATAATTTTGGATTCAATTAATTAATTTCAATTTTTCATACGTCTTGAGTTTTGGGCTTATGTAAGTTTAATATATTAAGTAGTTGAGGTAATTTAATTAAGTAGATAAAGCTTTTGCGTATTGTTTAATGATCTTTAATGGTGAATTAATCATTCAAAATATTAAAGAAAAGTGACGTTAGGTTAGAGGTTTGGCATTCTTTATAAATAAATATTTGCATTTTAAAAAAATCCTCGATAAATGAACAAAAAAAACGGCATACCCTTCAACGCCTCCGAAAATGTCTTGGGCCATTTTGCACAATGAACGAGTGGACGGCGTAGCGTTGAGTGGCGGACGACAAAAACGCAAAGGAGGCCGACGTCAAACTGAACTGGACAATTTCCGACCATGTGATCTCCGAGGCCAAGAGCAACACGGACACGTTCCCTACCAACGGGATAATCCTCCATGTGCGCAATCTGCCATGCGCAAGCCCAAATCCCCTCTGGTCTCGACCGGGAGAAAGGCAAGAATGTCGCTTTTACGAAATAGCTTGGGTTGTTAACTTTTTGCATTGTTGGGTCAGCGGGTTCGAGAGTCGGGACATCCTGAAATATGAGCATGAACCGACGGTAAACAGTCCATCGTCGAATGCTAAAGCCGGTCGGGTTGACACAGCAATCGATAATACACCGTGGCACGTGCCGTCTCGCTTCGCGCTTTTTTTTGCACCCAGACAACTTGTTTTAATTTTAGTGTTAAAGTGTTGAGAATCTTCTCTTACTTTTCATATTAAGATTGTTTAAACTTTTTTGTATATACATATGTATATATATGAAATAAATTTATGGTATATAATTATGTAATTACCCTTAGCTTATTACTTTAGGTAACACCAATTTCGAAAAACTAAATGGAAGATAAATTTACTTAGTAGTTCGGAGGAAGATGAGATGGGCTGTTTTAATCAGTTTGGTGGGGAGAGAAGATTCTACCCACAGTATATCTGAGTGCCTCAGGAAGTCCCTCGAGGTATCGTTAATCGTGGGGAGTCCTTTCCCGATATTTTTGCACAAAAGCTATGCATGTAAGTTTGCGAGTTTGTAGGAAGATGAGATGGGCTGTTTTAATCAGTTTGGTATGGAGAGATGATTCGACCCATAGGAAATTTGAGTGCTTCAGGAAGTCCCTCTTGGTATCGTTGATCGTCGGGAAGTCCGTACTCAATATTTTTGCTCGACAGCATTGAATGTAAATTGGTATGTAGGAAGATGACATAGGATGTTTCAATCTGTCTGGCGTGTAGATCTAAGAGCACGGTAGTGAGCTGGGCAAGTTTCAGCAAGCTTCCATGTGTATCTTTGCTCGGAGATTTTGAGGCTTTGAATGTACTGCTGTGGAATATTTTCATACTTCTCCAACAGCGCCATTCTTAATCACTACAAATTCTCTAGCATCACTCGGCGACCTTTGCCCTTCTGAAAACTTGTCCCGAAGGTGTTTGATAGAGTTAAGTAGTGACTATACGCTGGGCACTCCAAACATTGAAATGAAGCCCGTTTCAAGGAGTCACCAACGATGCCTAGCTGTGTGAGACCTTGCATTGTAATCCAAAAAAAAATAAAATAAAATAAAATAAAACCGTGCCAATTAGTGGCAAATAAGGAACAACTTCTGATAAGACGTGTTCAATGTACCTCACAGCTGTTAGGGAGCCCTCGATGAAGATCGAGTTTGTGCTGCCTTCCATTCCATAGCCCAAACCCTAACACCACCAGCTCCATAGCTTGTCCGGAGTGAAAATGTTGCGGGGAATATCGTTCTTCCATTCTTCTCCAAACCCTTTCTCGGCAGTCTGAAGACCCCAAACACAACAAGATTTTAGTACAATGTTGCTCAGATCGATACGATTTCTTGCAAAACTTAACCAAGCTGTTCTGTGCTTCTCTGTCAGAAGTTCCGCACCAATGGCAGTACATTCGAAACAATAGAATTCTGAGATGTATCACGATGGTGACCTGAACCATGCCTTCTTGAGTAACTTCGAGTACCTTCGTAGCGATGGAAGTCCATTCGGAAAGTTGTTCTGGGAACATTAAGCATCCTGGCTACTACGCTTGACTTCTTCCATCTTCCAACAATGCTATGATTCCAGGCGAATCTGTATCATTTAAAACCATCACTCAAACAAATTTGAATCTTAAACAGCTACAACTTACAAGATCAAACCACTTGAACGTTAGAAAGAAGCCTTACATAAAAACCAACAAAGAAGAGATGGACTATTCAAAGATATATTTACAAAATAGAATTGTAAACACAAGTAGGAGAGTTTATCTGTGTTTTATTTACCTCTAATCTTTTAAAACTAACCAAATATTGTCGTAAGATAATCAATGGAGGATTGTCTAAGCGATAATTACAGATATTAAAGATGGCCACATTTTTTGCCTCTCAGTGTATTTGGTACCAATGTAGGTCTTATATTGTAAGTAAAGGTAAGAATCTGAAAATTGCAATTTTCTCTTCTTACAACAGAAAATCTACGTATGCATAATCGCTCCTATGCCTGGAAAAAACCAAGACGACATTCACGCTGAAGCGAACAAAAAAGTATGATACCCCAGCAAAAACTAACCGTGAAAAAGGGTCAAGTTCCAGACCTCCACTAAAAAAATACGGTATCAATACAACGATATCTATACTGACGCCAAGTCCATTCTTTTCTGAGAGAACTCAAAAGTAAAGATAAAAGTTCCAGGCTCCCTCCCAAAAACGTCTTTATCTGTAGGCTCATTAAGTTCTTGGTTAATTCGATTTCTCTTAACTGAGTTTTCCGTGTACTTCGCGTGTTGCTCAAATGCTAAATTGGACATGTTTGAGTGACAGAAACAACAGCAGACAACACGGAAAATCTAACAAAATAATTAATTTATAATTAGAGAAATAGCAAGCAATATTTGTGGAGTTTTAAATATTAAAAGTGGTCAGACATGTTCATGACTTGTTAATCCATTATTTCCGAAATTAACAAGTCCCGAAATGTTAAGTGTTATAAATAATTTTTTTCAATTAATTAAGGTTTTTAGTTGAGATAAAAAATTCAATGGCACGAGCGGGATTCGAACCCACGATCTTCGGCTTGATACGCCGCTGCTCTACCACTTGCGCTATCGTGACCTCGTTCCACTCGGACACTAACTTCCCATCTCAACCCCACCTTATGAATTATCCCTCCTTTTTGCCATTTTTCTAATGTCGTGTAATCGGATTGGATTCTAGACGACAAATGAAATGGCCACGGAGAGCTTTAGTGAAGTACACTTCATTTTAAATCATTAAATTCACTAATTTCGTGGTCCGCTTGATCAATTAATATATTACAATTAATTAAGGTTTTTAGTTGAGATAAAGAAGGTTGAGATGGGAAGTTAGTGTCCGAGTGGATGGAGGTCACGATAGCTCAAGTGGTAGAGCAGCGGCGTATCTAGCCGAAGATCGTGGGTTCGAATCCCGCTCGTGCCATTAACTTTTTTTATCTCAACTAAAAACCTTAATTAATTGTAATATATTAATTGGTCAAGCGGACCACGAAATTAGTGAACTTATCAGAAGCAATTTTTTTTTTTTTTTTTGTAGATGAAAACTAGTCTTCAGCGAGCTAATACAGTTTAGATTTGAGGTCCGTGTGGTCTCGCTTCTCTTCTTGTTCGACCACGAGATCAGATTTCATTTATTCTTACAGTAAAGTTTTGGGTATTCAAGCCTGCTATTCTAAAAAATGTATACCCGTATAAATCTTGCAAGAATGAATTGTTTTTTGTAGATGAAAACTAGTCTTTAACGACCTGATACAGTTTAGACTTGAGGTCCGTGTGGTCTCGCTTCTCATCTTGTTCTACAACGAGAACAGATTTCATTTATTCTTACAGTAAAGTTTTGGGTATTCAAGCCTGCTATTCTAAAAAATGTATACCCATAGAAATCTTGGCAAGAAGGAATTATTATTATTATTATTATTATTTTTTTTTGTAGATGAAAACTAATCTTCAACCAGCTAATACAGTTAGGCTGGAGGCCCGTGTGGTCTCGCTTCTCTTCTTGTTCGACCACGAAATCAGATTTCATTTATTCTTACTAGTTTTGGGTATTCAAATCTATTATTCTAAAAAAATGTATACCCATATAAATCTTGCAAGAATGAATTGTTTTTTTGTAGATGAAAACTAATCTTTAACGAGCTGATACAGTTTAGACTTGAGGTCCGTGTGGTCTCGCTTCTCGTCTTGTTCTATAACGAGAACAGATTTCATTTATTCTTACAGTAAAGTTTTGGGTATTCAAGCCTGCTATTCTAAAAAATGTATACCCATAGAAATCTTGGCAAGAAGGAATTATTATTATTTTATTTTTTTGTAGATGAAAACTAATCTTCAACCAGCTAATACAGTTAGGCTTGAGGCCCGTGTGGTCTCGCTTCTCTTCTTGTTCGACCATGAGATCAGATTTCATTTATTCTTACTAGTTTTGGGTATTCAAATCTATTATTCTAAAAAAAATGTATACCCATATAAATCTTGCAAGAATGAATTTTTTTTTGTAGATGAAAACTAGTCTTTAACGAGCTGATACAGTTTAGACTTGAGGTTCGTGTGGTCTCGCTTCTCATCTTGTTCTACAACGAGATCAGATTTCATTTATTCTTACAGTCAAGTTTTGGGTATTCAAGCCTGCTATTCTAAAAAATGTATACCCATAGAAATCTTGGCAAGAAGGAATTATTTTCCTGTGGTATAAAACCAAAGGGCTGTAACAATATAAATACAGTTCAAAATTGAGGTACGTCTAGTCTGGCTTCTTTTCTCTTGTTCGACACGGTTTAAATCAATAGGCGATATGAGGTCGGACAGATTTCACTTACTTTTCCACTAAATTTTTCTCTGAAGTAATTATTTTATATGTAGGATGAACAAGAAAACAAGACTATAAAAAAAAACTGTTAGTTCAAACTTAAGGTCTCTTTCCTCGTTCGGCACCGTTTATTTCAAATGGCGAGGGCAGATTGAACTTATTTTCTCCAGGATACCTGAGAATCCGACGTTTAAGTTATTACATGTAAAATTCTGTTTACACTTGTAGCACTCTTGCTAAAAGTATATTTTAATTTTTTTTCATATAGATAAACAAGAAAAGTATACAGCAAACTGATATCATTTTTAAACTTGAGCATTATCAATACTGATAAGACTCGTGAAGAGCCCAGAGATTAATCACATTGCACAGAACACTCTGAGATAAATTTTCAATGTCAAAATATACAATTGGACAGTCGACTGTCTTTTTGTCCATTCAGGTAGGTCAAAATTGGCTCTTCTATCTGGATAAAGATACGCTTTGGTTGAACGCAAGACCGTTAAGACTCCCACTCAAGTTTGTGTTTTTTTAGATTAGTGGGCCAGATATGAACAATTATAATTTAAATGTTTACCTTATAAAATGAGAGTTA